ATCGCAATATCATCAACTGAATCATGTCTGCAAAGACCCTTTTCCTAAGTAAGGTGACCTTCCCAGGTTGCAGGGACTTGACATGGGTATCTGTTGGGAGGCCATTTTTCAGCCTTCCACAGGCCCCATACCCCCAGCCCTCGAATTCACATTACCTTAAAATACACCATATCAAATTATACGTATGAAAAAAATTATACATATGTACAAATTTTAGTATATTCATAAGGTTGTACAACCATCAACACTAATTCCAGAACATTTTCATCGAACAAAAAGAAACACTGTATCTATCAGCAGTCCTTATTTTCCTTATTTCCTTATTAAAATTCCTTATTTTCCCCATTCTCTAACTCCTGGCAACAACTAATCTACTTTATGTCTCTATGATTTGCCTCTTCTGGACATTTCATATAAGTGGAATTATACAATATGTGGTCTTTTGTGTCTGGCTTCTTTCTTTCACTGAGCACAATGTTTTCAAGGTTCATCTGTGTTCTGGCATGTACTTCATTCATTTATGGCTGAACAATATTCCATTGAATGGCTATACCAGGTCTTATTTATCCATTCATTGGTTGATGTGGATATTTTGGGGTTTTTTCCACTTTTTGGCTCTTGTGAACAAATCTGCTGTAAATATTCATGTACAAGTTTTTGTGTAGACATACTTTTTAAAATTTCTCTTAGGTGTATGCCTAAGAGTGGGAGAAACTTTGAGACTATTCTCCAAAGTGGCTGCACCATTTTCCTTTTTTTACCAGCAATGCATGAGAGTTCATTTCTTCACATCTTCACCAAAAGTTATTATCTGTCTTTTTTATTATAGTTATCCCAGTGGCTGTGATGTACTTGTAGTATTTCATTGTGGTTTTGATTTGCATTTTCCTTACTACTAATGATGTAAGCATCTTTTCATGTGCTTATTGGTCATTTATGTATCTTCTCTGGAAAAATGTCTATTAAGATCCCTCGCACATGTTTTAATTGGGTTATTTTTCTGTTTGTTATTGGGTTTTAAGAGTTCTTTATGTATTCTAGATCCAAGTCCACTGTCAAATGTAGGATTTGCAACTATTTTCTCCAGTTCTGTGAGTTTTCTTTCACTTTCTTAATGATGTTCTTTGAAACACAAAAGTTTTCAGTTTCAGTGTTATCTAACTTTTTTTTGTTGCTTGTGCTTTTGATGTCATATTTAAGAAAACATTGCCTAATACAGTGTCACAAAACTTTACTCCTATGTTTTCTTCTATGAGCTTTAGAGTTTTAGCTCTTAAATTTCCGTCTTGGATACATTTTGAGTTAATTCTTATGTATCTTGTGAGGTAGGAGCCCAGCTTGATTCTTTTGCATGTGGATATCCAGTTGTCCCAGCTCCACTGGTTGAAAGACTATTCTTCCCCCAATTAATTGTTTTGGCAACCTTGTCAAAAATCGATTGACTGTAAGTGTGAGGGTCTATTTCTGGACACTCAGTTCTCTTCCATTATTTATATGTCTCTCTCTTATGCCACTACCACAGTCTTGATATCTGTAGCTTTGGAGTAAGTTTTGAAATCAGGAAGTGTCTTTCCTCCAGTGTTGTTAATGACTTTTCAAATTGTTTAGCTGGTATGGACACATGGCAGATTCTTCAGACACACTTATTGCTTGGTCACTTGCTTTCTTGTTTCCCTGATGGACTCGTGAGCCCGTGAGAGTCTGGCTGGCCTGCATGGTTAGGTGAAAAATTCCTCTCCCTACTCTTCAGCTTCCTCTTTGCAAGGCATTTGGCCAGCAGAGATCTGTGCTGTTCTGACTGAGCTGTCTTAGACCAGGACAAGGGAGTAAAAGGGCGTTTGGTGGGATGCATCTGACCCCTCAAGCAGGAGATCTAAATCCAACTAATCCTTGCCCCAGCCCCATCCCAACTTTCCTTCCCCTGTCTTCCTCATCTTGCAGAGTTGCTGTCTGGGTAGTTATGATTCTATCTAGATCCACTTATAGCCAACACACCAGCTCTCCCCTTGTACCTGTCATTCCCACCATTGTCCTGTTACTTCGTGGCCAAATGGTGCAGGGGGGTACCTGGCCCATCAGGTGGGGCAGACTGGCTTTCTTGGTGGCATCTCTGGTCAGCTCCACGTGTCCTTTATGGACCAACAGAAGTGTTGCCTGACCTACAGGCCCTGATTTGGCTGGTAGATGAAACTTTTTTCTTCGCTGTGGCGCTTTCAGTCGTTGCCTTGAGGAGACAATAAAAAAGAAGGGTGGGGAAAAGGGGGATGAATTTTTAGAATTTTAAGATAAGCTGACCTGCTGCTAGTGCCACAATGCTAAGGACTTACACCTTTCACCTTTTATTCAAAACATGGACCCCAGCTGGGAGCTTTTTCTTTAATACTAAAAGTGATAAAACTAAGTGTAACTTCATCTCCATGGGGTGCTGGGAGTGTGTCTCCATTTCCTCCCTGCAGGGTAGGGTGCAGGCTGTGCACTAGATACATACTCAGCTCAGTGCCACCACTACTTGGACCTGTTCACCCAATCTCTATGAGCACAGCTTTCTCATTTTTTTTTTCTCAAGATTTTATTGGGGAATTGGGAGAGGGGAACAGCGCTGGGGAATCAGGGGAAGGGGAACAGACAAGTTGCTGTCCTTTTGTTCTTCAGTCTAGTTGTGGAGGACATCACTTCACTGGTCCATGTTGGTATTATCATTGCGCTCTTCCCTGTCTACTGGACAGCCGCTCACGGCGGCTCAAGGCAGCTCACGCCAGCTGCCGGCCACTCACACTGGCTTCCAGCCATTCACAGTAGCTCATGGCAGCCCACTGCAGCAGGGGCTGCAGCCTATGCTGTCGCTGGCAACTCACTGCAGCCCAGCTCCAAGTCGAGCTGTTGTTCACCATCTTAGCTGTAGAGGGCAGTGTCACTGGCCTTCATGTGGGATCCGAACCAGGGTCCTGCTGCTCAGAGCTGGCGTCCCAAGCCAACTCTTAACCAATGCGCCACTTGGCTGGCCCTCATTTGTTAAATAGGGATACCTCCCTCATGGTGGTGAGAGCAATATGGGTTCAGTAGAAGGGAAATGTTTGTTATTATCAATAATAACCCTAGTTAACCATGTATTGAATGCTTTCTTTGTGGCAATAGCTATGCACGTGTTCAAACTAAATCAAGTAGCGCAAAAGGAAAGATTTCATGATCTCCAGAGCCTTAAACTGAAATGTTTTGAGCATCTGCTATTTAGTTTAATCCTGTGCTGGTCTTCATGTGTATTTTCAATTCTTCCCGGTTTGAGAGATGCCAGTTAATTCTACCACACAGATTGTGAACCAGTGAGAACTACACAGAGGAGTCAGATACAATCTATATTGTAGGTGAAAGCTGGATGAAAACCTAACTCAGACCTACAGCCATAATGCACCTTCACACACACATGGGGAGTAGGGGCACTAAGGGGCAGGCATCCTGGGGGATTGATTTGGGGCTCTGGTGGTGGCAACATCAGTCCTTTGGCTGTTTCCATGAGTCAAGGCTCTGCTCCTGTGGGCTCTAAGTAGTCCTGGCCCTGCTGGAGGGGTCACCAACCCTGCTTATCTCATCGTAAAGATGATGAGATCTCTAGGTAGTTAGTGCTCATTCTCCAGGTCGGTGCTCTGCATGCACCATGAAACTTGTTGCCGGTTTCAGTTTCTTTGTAGCCACTTAAAGCTCTGTGACTATACACAAGTGGGTTAACCTGTCTGAGCTCTGGATTCCTCATGTGTGAAGTAAGGATAATTATACCCAAACCATAGGAGAGAGAAAGAACTTGGTTGGGGCCTAGCACATGACAGGCCCTCAGGGGGGCCATCCCTTGAAGGCTGGTTCAACACTGAAGAATTCAGCCTTCCAGTCTGACGCTGAGCCTTCTCCCTGTGTGTGAGCAAGTCTCTTTTGGGGCCAAATGGTCAGGGACAGGTCTGTGGGCTGGAGTTGGGAATGTGGATTTGGGAAAGACGGGGTCCCAACAGAAGTAGGTCATTGAAAGTCAAGCATTGGTGTATGGATGGATCTACATAGCTTCATTGTCTGGGCACTGGGATCCCAGTCCCATGTTTCAGACCTCCTCCAGGTTGGGGGTAGGAGGGGCAGGGCTGTGAGCGGAAGTGTTAACACCCGGAGCCTCCCTTCAAACCCATATTTAGGTCTAAGCAAAATGGTGAAATAAGCAATGGTTTCCCCAAGGCACCCACTTCCTCTTTCCACACCGTTCCCCCAGCCAGCTAGGAAGACGAGTGTCTGAAAACTGAATTCACTCTACAACAGAGGGCACCAAAATATGAGCTAATTCCAGCCCACCACCTGCTGTTGTACAGCCTGTGAACTGTGATGCTGTGGGTTTTACATTTTTAGATGGTTGGGAGAAAGTCAAAAGAATAGTTTGTGTGTGATATGTGAAAATTACATGAAAGTCAAATTTTATTGGGCCTAAATAAAGTTTTATTGGAACACAGCCACAACTGTTTGTTTACATATTGTCTGTGGCTGCGTTGAGAAGTTGTGACAAACTAAAATATTTCCTCTCTAGCCCTTTAAGAAAAAGTTTGCTGATGCACTGCTCTATATTAGAGAGTCAACGTGTTGTGTGCCCAGTGGGATTTGCTGTCAGATGAAGGGGCAAGCCAGTGGAATTCAGGCATCGTGGCAGGCCTGCAGAGGAGATATCCTTCCAGCCACACTAGATGGGCTGAGGGGAGCTAAATGTCTAGTCCTGCAGATTGGGTTCCTTCTGTCCACACTGGGAGAGGGGGCATGGAAATGGTGGGGTACAGACCTATGACTCATTCTAGCTGTGTAGACAGCAGGACTCAGAAGTGGATTAATAACCTTTAGTGAGTCTGTCTCACCAGCTTCTCAGCCAGGCTGGTGGCACTGATTTTACCTGAGGCTCTTCATGTTCCCAGAGCCCTACAGAGCCTCCCTGAGTTGTCCCTGAGCAGTACATGCATCACGCGCCTCTCTTATTTCCACAGAATTTGCCTTCTGTCAGGTGGATGCCTCCATCGCCCTGGACCTGGCCCTGGCAGTGCTATGTGACCTGCTCCAGCAGTGGGACCAGCTGGCTCCTGGACTCCCAGTCCTGCTGGGATGGCTGTTGGGAGAGGGCGATGACCTCATGGTCTGTGTGGAGAGCGTGCATCAGGTAGTCCTGGGGTCTCAGGGCAGTGGAGTGTCCTAAACCCACTGGCTGCAGCACTTACAGGCTTGTTTGGGCCTAATGTGCCTACTGAAAGTTTACTGGATGCTGAGAGCAATAACCAATGAGGAAACTCTCCAAATGTCCATGGCAGCCTGCTGGGGGCACTGGGGTAGCTCTCATGCTGTCTTTTGGGGTTCAGGTCTATGGGGGGAGGGGACTTTGAAAGAGGCGCCTTGGAAGTTGAATTATGGAGAATCCTTATTAGTCAACCTTGGAGGAGCCAGGGGCTCCCCATGGTGAGGTTGAAGGTGAAACATTTCCAGACAATTGAGGTGCTGCCAGGGCAGAAAGAAAACTATTAGCCCCTCCAGGTGGGGGAGCACTCAACAGATGGGGTAACTGAGGACCAAGACAAGCAGCAAAAGCATCTTGAGGACTGAAAATTCATATCCACCAGTGCCTGACCTAGCTGGCCTTCTTGGCATCACCAACAGCAACCTAGCCTGTTTATGGGAAATTCTGAGACAAGATAAAGTGTCTGTGATAAAATGACCTTGAAAATCCCCAGCACTATAGAAATTTGATTTCATACTTAGAGACTAGTGTCTCATGTTTGGTAATTTGCTGTTTTTTTTGCTGCTCAGAATTCCCTTCCTCCCTCTTCTCTGATTTCTAGATGCGCCTTTAGGCCTAGAGCCCACTCCCATGTTGAGGTCCATGTTCAGCACCAGGCCCCCAAAATATCTTGGCTTGGAACCACAAACACATCTTTATCAAAGGTCATGTTAAGTCTGGGAGAAAAAATTCCTCTCTGGTAGAGAAGTACAAGTGAAAATAGAAGGTGACCTTCAAGGCTGCAAGTGGTGTGTACACGCGGGTGTTGACAGGCAAGAGGGGGGCCTCTCCCCAGTGGGGGAGGGGACACACCTCTTCTGCATCTGGTAGGACTCTGGTCTGGACTGGGTTTTGTCAGCATTCCCCGTGAGGTTTGACTTTTGGCTTTTTCATTTGATTTAGGCGGAAGAAGACTACCTGTTTGAAAAAGCAGAAGTCAACTTTTGGGCTGAGTCCCTGATCTTCGTGAAATACCTCTACAAGCACCTCTCCCGTCTCCTCTCCACGTCCAGCTGGAATCCCCTCAGCCCTGAGAGCCTCTGTCATCTTCAAAGGACAACATCTGAGCAGTGCCACCTCCTCTCCCAGCTCTTCAGAGAACTGCCCCCAACGGCCGAGTTCCTGAAGACAGTGGAGTTCACAAGACTGCGCCTTCAGGAGGAAAGGACACTGGCTTGCCTGAGACTGCTGGCCTTTCTGGAAGGAAAGGAAGGGAAAGACGCGCTAGTTCTCAGTGCTTCGGACTCTCGGGCACAAGCAAATCAGTTACCTCTTCCAGGAACACAAACGGCTTGTTGAAGATAGGAGGCTTTGGGGGTGGGGGTAAGGTGGCTGAGTCCCCCACTAAACCTGCAGGCAATGTGTGGAACATAAATTCAAATATTTTTTTCCCCTTCACACCTCCCCCACTTCTGTGAGTCTAGTCTTCCTACAGAGGAGTTTTTCTTCAGTTCACTCATTCAAGGCAGACTGGTTTATTGCAGCTACTGTAGGAAGTGAGGCTACCATGTTGAATATTTACTCTGTTCCCAGGTGCAGGCCACCTGCAGGCCTGAATTAGCCTTTTTCGTCCCCCAGGACCTCTAATGTCCAGCCATAGCCGGCCGGCATTTTCTATGAATTGACTACACAGAATTTTAACACATGCTTCCCCCTGCCTCGCCCCCCCCCCCTTATTTGGCTGGATGTAGGAGCTGGATTAGTTGGCAAACAGCCCATTTGGTCAGAATTCCAAATTTTATTCCATTTTAGCTAAAGCAGAAATATGTTCCAAATGTTGGATCCTGAGAATATTAAGGATCAACTTCATACAAATAGTTCTGTTTTTATTGTCTGCATGTGTGAGTCCTGCAGTGACCTACACATGACAGTGACATCCTAATTATTAAAAGAGCCACTGAGAGCTTCTACCCTGTCTCCCCCGAAAAGTGTTTGTGCTAATGCTGGGGTACCTGATTTTGCCACCCAGTGAAAGCATAGACTCTTCTTGGCTGTTAGAAGGAAACTGAGGAAAGGAGAGCCAGAATAATTGATTTATTTTATGCCTACATTATTTACTATCATTTTCTTGGTGGCAATAACAAGAAGTTTCTCATTTAAGATGCCAGAAAACACGCTTAGCATTTCAGTAATTGAATCTAGAAACCTTCAGGGTTTTCTGCCTTCCCAAGCCCAGCTGTCTTCCTCAGACACCCAGCAGGTGTCACTCTTGTATACATTTTGCCGCTGGTCTTGTTTTTCATTGGCTTGTCATTTTTAATTTGTAATTTCAGAATAAGTATAACCCACAGACAGTTATCTTGAAATCCATAGCTTGGATGGGTCGTAGCCTCCTTCACATTCGTTTTTCATCCTAGTCATCTGAAAAAGCCATTTCAGTAATAGTAGACATGGTCCAGCTTTGAGGGTCTGTAAGTATTTTTAAATACTTCTCAGGTGAGCAGTCACTTAGAATTATTTTATTGATGTTTGAGGGTCTGAAGGGGCAGTTTAGAGGAGAGAGAGTTTGATTTGATCATTTCCTACTGCAGAAATGCTTATATTTCAAATATAATTTGTCTCTCTGTGAAAGAAAACCACCTAATACTAACAACAGCCATACTGGAAGTACAGAGAAAGGGCTCTGTAGGAAAAGGCAGGGAGAAGTTAGCTTAGTGTCCAAAGTTTTGTTCTGAAAAGGAAATTCCCTGGGTGCCTGGGTGGTTTTGCAATCAGCTCAAAATGTGTGTGTGTGTGTGTGTGTGTGTGTGTGTGTGTGTTCCTAAATTACTTGGTTAGGCATCTGTTGTAGCCCACACTTGATGGAAAGTTGCCAACCCAACATTTCTTTTGTTCTGAGAAGACCTGGCTGGTGAGAAGTCAGGGAATTGTTGGCATAATGTGGTGATAACCAGGATAGAGTCATTATTAAACTGACTCCAGCAAAGCTCAGTTATTGGAAAAGGCCAGCGTTCCTTTTTTCTCCATTTAAAATGAAATAAAAGCAGTTACATAGTAATAAATATATATCACACCAGCAGGTACTCTGTACCAAAGCATGTTGTACCATAGCATGTTTACATGTTATCTCCAGAACCCTGCAAAGCCTGCAAAGTGGGTGTTCTCAGAGCTGTTGACTAGAAAGTACCCCCAGGTTTTGATCTTGGCTGGCTATGGCCAGCCTGGGAGGGCGAGAGGGCAGGAGGGACAGATGTGTCACTGGTTTTGTATCTGAAATCTGGTTGCTGACCTCCAATAGCAGTGGCTAGGGAAATGGCTATCTCACACTTTTCTGATGCATTCCCAGAGGAACTATAGAATATCTTCCTGTCAGAGCCACCCTCAAAATGGCTTGCTTGGGGTCATTTCTACAAAGAACAAAACAGAACAGTCCGGGTTCTTCAAGTGTCAGCCTCAGAAGCCCAGCCCTATGTAAAGGCTGGGGTAGGCTGAGTCATAAGTGAAGTAGTCACTTCTTCTGAGGTCACTACCCTAGAGTCCATGCTCTAGGGTCCAAGATTTGGTGACCCCTAGCTCTGCATTCATGATTCTGTGGAGCTCTACCTGTCTGGCCATAGTCCAGAGGCCTGGTTTTCTCCATTTTTATGCTTTGTCAATTTGCTTTAATAAATAAGATGGATTACACTTGTTTAGCTTTTAACACCTTAACAGATAACTCATTTGCACTTTGATAAAGGTGAGAGATGAGTAAAGCTGGAATTATCTTAGTTTTACCAAAAAACCCAAGTACCAAAGAGATTGTGTGATTTGCCTAAAATCAAATGGCTAGTAAGGGGCAGGGTCTGAACTCCAAGCCCAAAGTTTCTGATCCTCAAGTCCTTGAAGCCCTACTCTGACTCTAACTCCAACTCCCTGGGCAGGTGTTGGGAGGAGAACAGCAGTAGACACTGCATTCAAGCTGAACTCTTAAGGAGTCAGTGACAGGCCTAGCTCCTTCCTTTCCAGGTTGACTGAGAGAAGGAATGAGAACCAAATGGAAACGAGGGCAAGGAAACAGCAAAAAATAAGATCAATTTGTGAAGGGGGCGTGGTTCCCATAGCTTCCTTCCCTGGTGGGTACTAGACCTTCCAACTTGGGCCCAGTTGCAGCCTAGGCTGCCAGGTATGCGAAATCATGGGCCTGCGTCCATATTTTTGGCAGCATACTTACAGACGGGCTGGGGGGGGGGGGGAGTGACAAATGTCCTGCACCACACTGGATCTGCCGGAGTGGGGCTGTCAGCGGCTTTAGCCTCACTGGGCGCTAGAGGGGGGTGTCTGCCCCATAACCAGAGGACTCCCGTTGGCAGACCATTTCCCAGTGCAGGCTTTTGGGGTGTGCGACTGGCGAGAGGAAACCGGGGGCAAGCCATCATCCGAGTCCTCAGTGCTCAGCCTTGCCTGGCCGCGGGTCGGCCTCAGCCAGAGACTGCGGCCCACAACGAGCTAAGGCGGGGCGCGGCTCCCACAACGGCCTGTAGGGAAGGGGCTTGGAGAGTGCGCTAGCCCAAGACTGAGGCGGGCGGGGAGCCTGGCTGGCAGCTGCACCCCAACCTCCGGGAGGGCTGGGGAAGGCCGGGCTGACCAGCAGACGGACAGGGTGGCGGCAACTCGCCTCCATGCCTGGGCGGCTCGGCCGACTTTTTCTCCCGTCCTCCCAGCTGGCTCCCCCGCCCGGGACGCCCCGCGCCACTCCGCGCCTTTGGCCCTGGCTCAAGGTCTTGTGATGTGATTAGCAAAGCCAGCGCCTTGTCCTCAGACACTCAGCCCTGCCCGGCAGGCCCCGGCGCTCTAGCCCTGTTTACTGCAGCCTGGGCGGGGAGAGGGGCGGAGAAACCGGCCCAGGCTCCTCTGGGCGAGACCGCCGCGGCAGCCGCCCGCGTGGCCGCTCCCGCCCCCACCCCCACCGTGTCTCCACGTGCAGTCGGGATGTAGCCGCCACCCACCAGACTCAGGCCCAGAGCCCCCGCCTCTCCCTCCCCCAGCTGGAGCACGCTTTGCAAACCAGTCAGGCCGCGCAGAGAGCTGCAATATTCTTGCATTTTGCAATTCCCGCGCCCAGTATAAAACCCAGGGTGGGAGATAAAAGCTCCGCAATTTCGCCTAACAGGATCAGGCGGGGAAAGACACGTCCAGGGATGCAGAACCCCGGCCACGTAAAACGTGCTGGGGATTTCCAATGGTGCAGCCCCAAAAGAGGGGAGCTGTATCTCCTGGTCGCCACCCAGTAGCACCCAACTGGGCCGAACTCTCCACGCTGCCCCGGGCACCGCGGCAGCCTGCCCCGCCCCGAGGCCTCTCTGCCCCCTCCCCCAGAGGAAAAAATTGGCGGCGGCCAATGAGAGGCCAGAAAGGAGCCTGACGTCCACGAGCCGGCGGGCGGCGTTGCCTGGAGACCCCAGCGGGGTCAACGTTCTGTCCCCTCCCCCGGCACGCCCGCCCAGCAGCTGCAGTGCTCTATATAGGGCGCGCGCTCGCGGGCCGCAGAGTTCCAGCAGTTCGCGAGCTGCCGTCGGCTCCGCGCGGGGGGGGGGCGGGCCGGGCACCCCGGGGCGCGGAGCAGCGCTCTTTGCTTCTCTCTCTCCTTTTCCCCCCACTCTGCACTCCCAGCGCCCTCAAACCAGTCCACGCTGCTTCCCTCTCCCTCTTTTCTCGCCCCCAGCCAACTTTCGGTCCCCCCCCTCCGGCCCTCGCCCGTTATTCGTCGTGGCTCGAGCCCGGCTGCGCAGCCCCGAGGGCTCATCCGGACCTCCCTGCCCGCACCTCCGACCATTACAGGATCCAGAAACATGTCGACCACACTTCTGTCCGCCTTCTACGATATCGACTTCTTGTGCAAGGTACGCGGGGGCAGCAAGGACAGAGGAAGGCGGGCAAGCAGGAAGTCCTTGGAATTTTCAGACCTTAACTTCTGTCCTTTGCTTTTGGGGGACCCCCTCCCTATTTTGACTTTTTGGGGTCGAGAAAAATCCCGAAGTTTGCAGTTGTGCTCGTGCCTTGTGGGCGGGGAGAAGGAACCAGGGAGGGAGGAAGGGAGGGCAGGAGGGAGCGGCTGTAGCTGTTTAGTTTATCCGGAGCCGACCGCGGCCACGCTGCTCGGTGCTTCCCGGACCGAGTTTGCGCCGCCCAGGCCGGCGGCCCACGGGCTGAGAATCACATGTCGAAACCCAGCGCGGCCTGAAATGGTAGTCCGGCTCCTCCTTAGGTGAACTTGATTCTTTTGCGCGTGTATGGGTGGAGGGTGGAGGCCGAGTCGAAATCCGAAAAAAGGAAAAAGAATCAAAAGGCTGGCAATTCCTCTGCAACTCGCCCCAACTCTTCCCTTCCTTACCCTTTTTTCACAATTTCCCTGCTCCCCTCGTTTTGGCAGACGGAGAAATCCCTGGCCAACCTCAATCTGAACAACATGCTGGACAAGAAGGCGGTGGGGACGCCCGTGGCCGCCGCCCCCAGCTCGGGCTTCACGCCGGGCTTCCTCCGACGGCACTCGGCCAGCAACCTGCACGCGCTCGCCCACCCCGCGCCTAGCCCCGGCAGCTGCTCGCCCAAGTTCCCGGGCGCGCCTAACGGCAGCAGCTGCGGCAGCGCGGCGGCCGGCAGCCCAGCCTCCTACGGCACTCTCAAGGAGCCTTCAGGGGGTGGCGGCACGGCCCTGCTGAACAAGGAGAACAAATTCCGGGACCGCTCGTTCAGCGAGAATGGCGAACGCAGCCAGCATCTTCTGCACCTGCAGCAGCAGCAGAAGGGGAGTGGCGGGTCCCAGATCAACTCGACTCGCTACAAAACTGAGCTGTGCCGGCCCTTCGAGGAGAGCGGCACGTGCAAGTACGGCGAGAAGTGCCAGTTCGCACACGGCTTCCACGAGCTGCGCAGCCTGACCCGCCACCCCAAGTACAAGACAGAGCTGTGCCGAACCTTCCACACCATCGGCTTCTGCCCCTACGGGCCGCGTTGCCACTTCATTCACAATGCGGATGAGCGGCGGCCCGCCCCGTCTGGGGGTCCCTCTGGGGACCTCCGCACCTTCAGCGCGCGCGACGCCCTGCACCTGGGCTTCCCACGGGAGCCGCGGCCCAAGCTGCACCACAGCCTCAGCTTCTCGGGTTTCCCGTCGGGCCACCACCAGCCCCCGGGGGGCCTCGAGTCGCCGCTGCTGCTCGACAGCCCCACCTCGCGTACACCACCCCCGCCCTCCTGCTCCTCGGCCTCGTCCTGCTCCTCGTCTGCTTCGTCCTGCTCGTCGGCCTCGGCGTCCTCCACGCCCTCCGGCGCCCCGACGTGCTGCGCCTCTGCGGCGGCAGCGGCGGCAGCAGCAGCCCTCCTGTATGGCACCGGGGGCGCCGAGGACCTGCTGGCGCCCGGTGCTCCGTGTGCCGCCTGCTCATCGGCCTCGTGCGCCAATAACGCCTTCGCCTTCGGCCCAGAACTGAGCAGCCTCATCACGCCGCTCGCCATCCAGACCCACAACTTCGCTGCAGTGGCCGCCGCCGCCTACTATCGCAGCCAGCAGCAGCAGCAGGGCCTGGTGCCCCCCGCGCAGCCCCCGGCGCCGCCCAGCGCGCCCCTCCCTGCCAGTGCCGCCGCGCCTCCCTCGCCGCCCTACAACTTCCAGCTACCGCGCCGCCTGTCAGAGTCGCCAGTGTTCGACGCGCCCCCTAGTCCCCCGGACTCGCTGTCGGACCGCGACAGCTATTTGAGCGGCTCCCTGAGCTCGGGCAGCCTCAGCGGCTCCGAGTCTCCCAGCCTCGACCCCGGCCGCCGCCTGCCCATCTTCAGCCGCCTCTCCATCTCCGACGACTGAGGCAAGAGGGCTACAGTTAGGAGGAGGAAGGAAGGCCTTTCTGGGGGTGTTGCTGGAGGGCGCCCCTGGTAAGGGGCAGGGGGGCACGGGAGTGGGGGGTAAAATAGGCCACAAGCAGACTGCAGGCCAGACCGAGCACTTGGACTCGAACTTGTGTGCCGAGTGGGGCCTCCACTCCTCTTCTCCCCTTTCGGTTTCCTCCTGTTTTTGTTTTTTATTATTATTTTTATTATTATACGAAGTTTCATTCTTGTTGAGCAAAAAAAAGCCAACGAACTTTTTGTATTGATGAACAAAATATTCACAACAGGGCAGTTGTGATGCGAATAGAACAAAAAAAACCAAACACTTAACTTTTTTTTAGGTCTCAGATGAGTTTGGGACTTTAGGAAAAATCAACCCAGCACCAGCAGCTACCAACCACCATTCCATATCTTCACTTGAAAAGCATTAGTCCAGATGTGGGAACTCGTTATCTTGAGAAGTTCCTCATTGTTTTTTCAGAACAGTGTAAACAAACCAGCCAAGCCACCACCTTGCTAAACCTATAAGCTTAGAATTTAATATTCTGCCATGAATATGCCTTGATAGTAGAGCCCTCTGCTCCATAGGTTATGTGTTTTGTTTTTTGAAACCAAGTTATATGTGTCTGGAAAAAAACAACCCTTGCATTCCAAAGTTTCATATTGGTTCCTGATTTCTTTGCCACCACTTAGTGGATGTTTAATTTAGAACCATTTTGTCTGCTCTCTGGAAGCCTTGGGCAGAGCTTAGTTTGTAATTGTTGGGGAATAACTGCTGAATTTTTAGCTGTTTTGAGTTGATTCGCACCACTGCACCACAACTCAATATGAAAAAAACTATTTAACTTATTTATTATCTTGTGAAAAGTATACATTGAAAATTTTGTTCATACTGTATTTATCAAGTATGATGAAAAGCAATAGATATATATTCTTTTATTATGTTAAATTATGATTGCCATTATTATCGGCAAAATGTGGAGTGTATGTTCTTTTCACAGTAATATATGCCTTTTGTAACTTCACATGGTTATTTTATTGTAAATGAGTAAAAAAAATCTTAATTTAAGAGATTGTATGTAATATTTATTTCATTAATTTCTTTCCTTGTTTACGTAAATTTTGAAAGATTGCATGATTTCTTTATAGAAATCTATCTTGATGCTGTGGAAGTAGTTTAAGGAATATCTTACGAGTTTTCTTAGAATGTATAATGGTTGTAGCCCATCCAACTTTAAAGAAAAAAAGTGACCACATATTTTGCAATCAGCCTTAAATGTGGCATGCTTTTCTCATTCCAACTTTTTATAAATTAGCAAAAAAAAAAAAATGTCGTTTGCTTATTCCACCAGTTCTACTGTG